ATTATCATGATCGTTCCACTTCCACCACAGAAAACTTCAGCCACTTTTCGGTCAAGACTGGAGGATAAGAAATGGGTGAACATTATTTCAGAGCCTTTCTTGAAATCTACTTTAACTGGTACTCCTCTGTAAGTTGTACTTGCTTTCTTCTGCAGACCAGTCCAGCACATGAGGACGCAGTCAAGGAGCAGGTCGTACAGAGCTACGGAGAGATCCTGTCCGGAAGTCGGCATATCCTTCATGCCGCCAAAATCCCTCGACACTGCATTATTGATGGTTGTGTGGTACTGCGGCTTTGTGTAAAAATACACTATCTTCTTGAAGAAATCTGCTTCGGAGTCAGCATTCTTTAATTCATCGGCGTAGTTTTTGTCTACTCCGTACATGGCATTATGCAGCTTCGCTTCGACTTTGGGCCAAGCATGGTCCTCTTCCTTGTAAATTTGTTTCAGCAGATCCATTAAATGAGATTTTGGGCAGGTGCCTGAATTAAGCAGGGTCTTCCTGTAGGTAATCACTGCCATCATGAATAAAGGAAGATGGTCAATGATCATTTCACCCTCCTTTTTTGGTATCACGTAAGTGATTTGTCCTCTAAACCTCTTTTCTCTGACGTATTTGACATTAAAGTCCAGTATGTCGATGATGGCCTGCCTGCCTCCCATTTGATTAGCTACCTCTTTAGGAGTAGATGATGGTTTAGCATCATTGGCACGAGATCTCTTGGTCCTGACCAGAGCGTCACAGTTGGGGATATCTAGGAGTTGACTTATAATGTCCAAATTGTTCCAGTAAACTGCTTGATGAAGGACAGCCCATGATCTTTGTTCTGGTATACAGTTAATCAGGTACGGCTTCTTCCGAATTATATCCAAAGCAGTGCTCCAATTTCCATATTTTGCAGCGTACACGGCCTTTTCAACATCGGTGTTGTCTTCTTCGATGTTGAACTTCGAAAAGGACATGTTAAGATGGTAGTGAAACTGTTACAAAACGAAAAACGAAGATCGGTTTAAATTGTGGCAAAATAGAAAGTAAATACCTTCTTTTGCTGTGAAATCTGATCTTAAAAACTTAGATAACACATTCGATGGCGCAATACTGATTCCTGGGATATTATGTTACATTCTATAAATAACAAAATGAGCCAATTAAGACAATGAGTATTGATGCATCTATCGTAATAAAAAATAAGGAGTGATCGTTCACATTTTACGTAATCAGTCGAGAGGGGGAGGGGGTTTCCAAACGATTACGCTAGTGTAATTTTTCTCCAAAAAGTGATTACGTAACATGTGAAAGACCACTAATTTGCATTCTGCAATATTTAAGTCAAAACAATATACTTTTGGGTGACGCCTTTATAAAATCCAGTGCTCATTTTACAGTGATGGTGAGATAAAATTTTATCTCATTATATATTAAAGATGAATTAAAAATACAGCCCTTTGCAGAATTACAAGAACACTTTATCACATTATCCAGGAATAATTTAAGTTTAAGGTTTCCTTACTAATCTTCACTTGTGCTATGTAGTTACAACATATAATTATAATATGACTACGAGGTTGTATGAAAGAAAAGGTTATCCCAAATTTGCACCCTGACATTACTTTGATCGCACCAGGCACTTCTAACAGTTGTAAATGTTATGACCTAATTTGACCAAAACCCATAATCATGGGTAGAGTGTACCGCTGCCAGTGCCAGTGTCTCTCTATTTCCAAACAAAAGGAAATGATATTAATTTGAGGAACCGTCCGCTAATGCAAATTGATACCGAGAATGAAATCGGTCGCTCGCTTTTCCCATTCATTCACGGCTTACGAATTGTAATATTTAGCTTATTAAATGGGAAAAGCGAGCGACCGATTTCATTCTCGGTATCAATTTGCATTAGCGGACGGTTCCTCAAATTAATATCATTTCCTTTTGTTTGGAAAAGAGAGACACTGGCACTGGCAGCGGTACACTCTACCCATGATTATGGGTTTTGGTCAAATATCATCTCTTTTTGATTATAATGTCAGGATAATTTACACAATCGAAACTTCATTAACAAGGAGGTAATTCCGACGATTTCGAAATTCTGCCTTTGAAAACGTTTCCTTGTGTTTAGTTAGGTATATCTGTCGATAACCGACTGAATATGGCACTTTTTACTCATTCAAGTTGGCATTAAATTCATATATTATGCCATTTAAATATCGTGGAAAGCAGAATATATTCGAAATCACGAATGAGCAAAATTCTCACCTTTCGCACGTGCAAACTTTGAGCGGACGTTGCGTGCGCATACAATATTGAATCACCGTAAATTTTTGCATAGTGGTATTTAATATATAGTTTGATAAGCATGCAAAGTTTCAGAAGATTTCAAAAAGAACTTGGATCACAACGGGACTCCAAAGTTGATAAAAATCGTGAAAATCAAAATTTTTAGTGATTTTAGCTATTTTAAATCAATTTGGGCGTGTCCCCACGTGTGCAACTTTTCGATTTTTAACTTTAAAACTAGCCTATAACACAATTTACACCTTTAAGAAGCAAAATTGAGCTCCACAACCCAAGGGATGACCCAACACCAGAGAATACTAATTCACAACTTTTGTGTTTTTATAAAATTATTCTTCAAAAAAGCACTAACTTCAATAGCAAATATCTTTATGAAGGAGCAAGGTAGGAAACTATCGGTAGATTTTCGGAATGCTTGAACAATTATCTAAGGTGAAAATGTCCTCAGATTTTGAATAAAATTACTCCTTAATAGCGTAAAATCGATTTGAAAAGTTGTTACTTTGTCAAAAATCAAGTTTTTAAAACACTTAATTTGATGACGTCATCAAGTGATGATGATGACGTTAAATTATTTTTCAATACAATGTAAACTAAAGCTTAAACGATTATCTTTAAAACCTGTGGTTCGAGATGACTGTATCGTTTATACTTTCGAATCTACGGACACTTAAATGTAGGCTACAATTGACTGCAAAAAGCGTCTATATTATATCACAATGCTGGCAAGCATTACCGTCGCCCTTATATTCACAACACTATTTACCCCCTATACGATTATATCCCCTTTATTGTTTTCCAGGCATTAAGACTCATCGAAAGTAGTTCAGCAGGTACATTTAAGTTCAAAACATTCTAATTCAATGTTGAAGATGACAGGAATAAGAAATAGTTATATGGAGGTTTTTAAGAAATTTGCGCAAAATACGCGCCAGCATGTTATACGAAATTAGGTAAAAAACCCAAAATCGCCATATTCAGGTGCCTTAAAAACCATGTTAAAATTGAGTTAGAGATCTGAAACTTTGCAGGGCGTCTAGACCTTGTCCAAATCGACTGTAAAAAAAATGTCATGTTTCAGGAGTATCGGGAAGTGGGTTTTCTGGAACCCCTGTTTTACAACAGATTGTCGTGAAGATATATATCACAGTGCTGGCAAGCACGAGCGGTGTCTTTATTGGGGGTATACTATGTACCCCCTTTACTATTTTACCCCCTTTACTATTATACCCCCTTTACTATTATAACCCCTTTGGTACTCGTCGGAAGCCTCTTTCGTGCACGCGAAGCGTGCACTCCGGCCGGAGGCGGCGGCCTTCGGCCGCCGCCTCCGGCAGGAGTTTTTCAGGCATTAAGACTCATCAGAAGTCGTTCAGCAGATTTATTTTTAGTTCAAAACATTCTAATTTGATGTCAAAGATGACAGGAATAAAAAATAGTTATGTTGAGATTTTTAAGAAATTTGCATAAAATACTCGCCAGCACTGTTATACGAAATTCGGTAAAAAGCCCAAAATCGCCATATTCAGGTGCCTTAAAAACCATGTTTAAATTGAGTTAGAGATCTGAAATTTTTCAGGGCGTCTAGACGTTGACCAAATCGACTGCAAAAAAAGTTTCAGGTTTCAGGAACATCGGGAAGTGGGTTTTCTAGAACCCCTGTTTTACGACAGATTGTCGTGATATCTATCTATATATATACATATATATATATATTCAGGGATAGACGCTTTGCCTGTCAATTGTAGCCTGTATTTAAGTGTCCATAGATTCAAAAGTATAAAAGATACAGCCATTTCCGACCACAGGTCTTGCAAATAATTGTTTATACTTTAGTTTACATTGTGTAAAAAAATTATTTGACGTCATAAACACCCCTTGATGACGTCATCAAGTTAACCGTTTTTAAAACTTGATTTTTGACAAAGTATTAACTTTTAAAATTAATTTTAAACCATTAAGGAGTAGTTTTATTCAAAATCTGAGGAAATTTTCACCTTAGATAATTGTTCAAGCATTCTGAAAATCTACCGGACAGTTTTTCTAGCTTGCTCCTTCATAAAGATATTCGTCATTGAAGTTTGTGCTTTTTTGAAAAATTATTTTATAAAAACGTCAATTTTGCGATTTAGTATTCTCTGGTGTTGGGCCATGCCTTGGGTTGTGGAGCTCAGTTCTGCTTCCTATAGGTATAAATTGTGTATTAGGCTAGTTTTAAAGTTGAAAATCGAAAAGTTGCACACGTGGGGACACGCCCAAATTGATAGAAAATCGCTAAAATCACTGAAAATTGCTGTTTTCGTCATTTTCTGTCAACTTTAGAGTGCCGTTGTGACTACAGTTCTTCTTGAAATACTTTGAAACTTTGCATGCTTATCAAGCTATATATAAAACAATTACATGCAAAAATTTACGGTGATTCAATATTGGATGCGCACGCAACGTCCGCTCAAAGTTTGCACGTGCGAAAGGTGAGAATTTTGCTCATTCGTGATTTCCAACAAATTCTGCTTTGCCACAACAGTTTAATGTCATTATATATGAATTTAATGCCAACTTGAATGAGTATTAAGTGGCATATTCAGTCAGTGATCGACCGATATGCTTCCATAAACACAAGGAAATGTTTTTAAAGGAAAAATTTCGAAATCGTTGAAACTTCCTCCTTATTAATGAAGATTTTTTTTTTTTTTTAATACTTTCAACACTACTATATAACAAATAATTTGAGTGTGTGTAGTGTATACTGGGCAGCTTTCGGATACTATACATTGTACATGCACAATTATGATTGAAAACTTTGATGAAAAGGTTCGGTTGGTCATTGGTGGTCTCATGGCGAATCCAAAAGCAGATGCACTTATGAAGTCTGTTCTCACGGCCTATGATCCATCTAAGGACCGATCCAATAACAGAACTGTTCTTGGTGGTTCCAGATTTCAAGTACCAACACTTGACGCCTGTGCAAGCTTCTTTAAGATTGCGACAATTGATGATAATAGTCGAATCTACAGTAATAAGCCAGCTCTTGCTATGCGCATTATTCTTGAAATTGAAACCCTTTTTCCTACCATCTGTGGGCAGTGTGATGAAGAATATTGCAATAAGTTTGAGTCTCCAACTTCTCCTGTATTGCGTTGTTTCTTGTGCTTTCAAGGCTCTCACAGTTGCGAACAAACCACTCAAGCTGCAGCTAATCTCCACAAGTCACCAACAGCGCTACCTCATGGTACTGTGTGGCTCTGCAAACTGTGCTTAACGCAAAATAATCCTGTGCCCAGCAAGCGTTCCAAATCAAATCGCCACCGCTATCCTTCAACTGTTAGTGTAGCGGTTTCAACCCATCCTTCACAGACGGCAACTCCTAATGAAAATAAACAGCCGGATATCGACGCAGATGAACTATCTAAGAAACTGGATGCAGTTCACCAGCAGCAGCAACAACCAACGGCTATCAAACCGAGTGAGGATGATACAATCTGTGTTGACTACACAATGGGGAAATGCCCTCACGGAATAAGTGGACGGACTCTCCACCAGGGTAAAACTACATGCAGCAAGCTTCATCCTAAGCGCTGTAAAAAGTTTACACGTTTCGGCACTGATTCTAATGGGGGATGTAGTTTAGGTTCAGAGTGTCAGCTCTACCACCCAAAGCACTGCAAAAACTCGGTTCAACACAAGCAGTGTTTTAAAGAACAATGCACTCTAGTTCATCTGGTGGGAACTAAGCGTGTGAAACCCTCCAAAGATAAAGATACTCGGAAGAAGGACGGCAAACATCCAGGTGGTGAGAGCCGTCCAGATCGGGGATCTTACAGGCGCACTGAGAGTACTTCTGCTGCCAACGAGCCTTCGGAAAAAACGACCGGCAACTCTCAACATTCAACCTCTTTTTTAGAGATACAGAACCTACTCAAAGTGATGCAGGCAAACTTTCAGTCGGAAATAATTTCCCTGAAGAATCAAATAGCAGGTCAAGAGTCGAAATTCAGCAGCTTCTTCCCAACTGCGAACCAGACGCCTCATGCCCAAATGTTCCCGCATCCGTTTCCAACTGTAAGCCAGATGACTCACACTCCAACTTTTCCACATCTGCCTCCAGCCCTGCAGCATCTGAATCCAACACCAGTTCCTCAATGGGCTCGATTTCATCAGCACTCTTGCTGAATGTGCAATCCATTAACCCTAGTGCTCGCAGCTCAACCAGATGGAAAATCCCATACATCCGGAATAAAGTAGAGCAGAAATCTAAACATATTTCTGTTCCATTTATTGCCCTTACTGAAACATGGTTGAAACCTTATATCCACGATTCACAGTTAGATATTGAACATTATAATATCTCTAGATGTGATCGAAGTACTAGGGTAGGTGGTGGGTTCTCCTTTATTCTCACGAAAGCCTCCCCATCACCAGCTCTCAGACATTTGATGATAAGATCTGTCAAGCATTACTTTGTAAATGTGAAACAGCAAAAATGATCATATGTGTCCTTTATCGTCCTCCTGATGCCCCAATGGCCAGTTTCAAAGCATGTTTAGAGTATATGGCTGATTATATATCTGGACATGAATCATATGAGACATGCCTCTTAGGAGACTACAACTTCCCTATGATTGATTGGAAATCCGGTGCAATTCTGTCTGGTGCATCGTCTGCTACAAATCAGTCGGCAGTTCTTCTCTTTGACTTCATGGCAGACAACTTCCTCAGTCAGTATATTCTGGAACCTACTAGGCTGAACAACTGCCTTGATCTTTTTCTCTCCAATGCTCCTAATCTTGTGACACACGTTTCGGTGACTGATACACCTTTGTCTGACCACAAGCTTCTTGAGATCTTTCTGTCACATAATCCATGTCGGTCAGATCCTTCCGTACCCCCAGATTTCAGTGTTCCTTCGTTTCGGTCACTGGACTTCTACAAAGCAGATTATGACAAAATCAATCATCTCCTTGATTCTGTTAACTGGAGTGAACTATGGGAACTTTGTGATCCTGAAGAATTTCCTGAACTGTTGAACCTTGTCCTTCTTCAGATATGTGAGATGGGGTGCCCAAGGAAAAAGGCATCTAGCAAAAGGCGAGGTTCACCGGTTAATACATTGTCTCGCAAGAAACGCAAATTAAAACTTCGGTTGCATTTGGCTGAACAAAATCCAGTCGCTACAACAGCTCACTTGGAGTCACTTAGAAACCAGATTTCGAGTGTGTACGCTGACATGCGAGACGCTATAAACCACGACCTTAACTACCGTGAACAACAGGCGGTAGATAAAGTGCACAGCAATCCAAAATATTTCTACAGCTATGCTAAAAAGTTCTCTAAGCAGAAACGCAGTATTCCAATGCTTTTCAATGAAGCCAAGAGAACTTGCACCAATCCTGAAGAGATTGCTAACATCCTCCAGCGTCAATTCAGCAGTGTATTCAGTGACCCTTCAGCCACCAACATCAATGATGCATTATTTCAGTCACCTTCTCTACAGAAGCCATTCATTGATGACATGTTGGCATTCTCGGTTGCTGATATAATGGAGGCTATTGATGAAATTAAGCCGGGTGCCGCTGCTGGGCCTGATGATCTTCCAGTCCTGCTTCTGAAGAAGTGCAAAGAAGCACTCTCCAAACCTATACACATGATTTGGCAGCATTCTATGTCTACAGGCACAGTGCCGAAGTTCTACAAGACATCAAACATTGCTCCACTTCACAAGAAAGGCAGTCGTGCTATTGCGGGAAACTACAGACCTGTGTCGTTAACTTCTCATGTCATTAAGATCTATGAGCGAGTTCTACGAAAACAGATGGTGGCCCACCTCGAAGAAAACAACCTTCTCAATAGCAAACAGCATGGCTTCCGATCGGGGAAAAGTTGTCTCACTCAGCTGCTTCATCATTTTGATGACATCATCGAGGCGTTATCAAATGGTGACGACATGGACGCTATATACTTGGATTATGCCAAGGCCTTTGATAAAGTAGATCATCAACTTCTTATCAAAAAACTGCAGCTATATGGTTTTCATCCCAAAATCATCATCTGGATCGAGTCATTTCTTACAAATAGAACTCAACAAGTTGTTGTAGATGGTCACATGTCTATCATTGCTCTTATTATGAGTGGTGTCCCCCAAGGAACAGTTTTAGGTCCCATACTGTTTTTAATATTCATTAATGACATTGCTAGCTGCGTGTTGCATTCAACGTTAAGATGTTTCGCTGACGACACAAGAATTTGCAGATCCATCAGTGATTCACATAATGTTACTGAGCTTCAGTCTGATCTTGACAAAGTCACTGAGTGGTCATCAAGAAACAACATGGCACTACATGAGGATAAGTTTGAGTACATATGCCATCTTGCCAACAAACGTAATCCTCTCTATGAGCTTCCTTTTGTCCATGAACAGTTCCAATACAGAACATCAACTGGTACTATACTCAGTCCTGTGGATCAGCTCCGTGATCTCGGTATAACAGTATCCAGTGATACGTCCTGGACATCACACATACGATCTAGTTGTGATAAAGCGAGGAAGATGGCAGCATGGGTATTCAGTGTCTTCCACTCTCGCAATACTGGTGTTATGTTAACACTATACAAGTCACTAGTCCGTAGCCACTTAGAGTATTGCTCTCCTCTGTGGAATCCGGCGAAAGTGTATGAAATTCAGGAGCTTGAAAGTGTACAAAGAACTTTCACTTCAAAGATCCATGGTTTACAGCATCTCCATTATTGGGATCGCCTAAAAACCCTGTCCCTCATGTCACTTCAGAGGCGCAGAGAACGTTACATTGTCATGCACATGTGGAAAATCCTACATGGTTTCACATCCAACGACCTTGAAGTACAGTTCACAGTAAATCCACGATTGGGTACCCTTGCTAAGGTTCCAGCTGTCCGTACAAAAAGCTCAGCTGCTCACCAGACTCTATATGAAACATCATTTGGTGTAATGGGTCCCAGACTCTGGAACTGTATACCTTCGCACATACGTGCAGTCTCCAAACATGATGGCTTCAAGCATCATATGACAGCATTCATGCTTTCCTTGCCGGATAAACCGCCAATCCGGGGCTTCACATCACCGAACTCCAATTCTATACTGGACTGGCGTAACGATCGAGAGGCATCTTCTCTCTGGGGTGGTCAGCAACTCTGATGGTCTGTCGAGTTTCGACGAAGCAGATCAAAGGTATCAAAGGTAAGGTATATCAGTTTATATTTCGACTTTATAAAGTACCCTGACATTATAATCAAAAAGAGATGATATTTTACCAAAACCCATAATCATGGGTAGAGTGGACCGCTGTCAGTGTCTCTCTTTCCCAAACAAAAGGAAATGATATTAATTTGATTGACCGTTCTCAAATGCAAAATGATACCGAGAATGAAATCGGTCGCTCGCTTTTCCCATTCATTTACAATTGTAATAGATTAAGAAGAACTATCCAAAGGAAGCTGTACTCGGCAATGAAGATTCAATAAACTCCAGCTTGTTCAATAAGTAATAACTACCACCCTTGTCCCTTACCCCGAAATACTAGGTATCGACCCGAACGCAACCCAAAGAGATTTTTACAGCATCTGATTGATGTAATCGATCGAAACTTGATTATACAATTCGTAAGCCGTGAATGAATGGGAAAAGCGAGCGACCGATTTCATTCTCGGTATCATTTTGCATTTGAGAACGGTCAATCAAATTAATATCATTTCCTTTTG